CAAGGTGATTCTGACTCATATAAGACACAGTAGAAGTCATTCATAGGGATTCGAAGGCTGTAATCTTTATGAATGCAGACTGCCATATCATTCTTTCATGGAGCAGCTCATGGGTTCAAAGGGCCAACTTCTAACAACAGGCACGTGCTTACCCACTGTACCACCAGGGCTCCTTATATGACTTACAAGGAAACCCAAATCTACAAAGTGACCTCTGCAGGTTAGAATCTGAAAGGTCAAAAATTTCTCTAAATAAAAGGCATACCACTAAATTGAATAAAATTTTAAGGAAAGGTAGGCAAAATGGATTATTTGGATAACTGATAAATCTGTCCATCAAAGAAAGATTAAATCTTTTCATGCATTTTCACTTACGAGCTCCAACTCCTAATTCAGTGAGTAACTATCATAGGGAACACCTGTTAAACAGGTTACACTATGTTTCCAGTGAGTCATTACATCTTTGCCTTTACCAATGTATGTTGTTGTTGTTATGTGCTGTTGAGTTGGCCCTGACTCATAGCGACCCCTCCTTGGGTTTCCAAGGCAGTATCACTACGGAAGTAGATTGTCCAACCTTCCTGTTACACTTAAGTTTTTCAATATTATAAGTTTTTACTTTATTTTTTTCCTACGTGCCTCTTGGAATTTTTTTAAAAATGCATTTTATTGAAATATAATTTATGTACAGTGAAATACACAAAATTAAAGTGACATGGGTCAATGCATATTTTTTTTTTTGCAGTGTTCCCCCCCCCACCCTTGGCAACCAACAAAGAAAGTTTCCCTCCATATATAAACCTTTCCTTGACCCTCCACAACAATGAGCTAATGCTGTATTTATCCTTCTGTGATTGACTCATGTCACACAATATAATGTCCTCCAGGTTCATCCATATTATGCGGTGTTTTACAGATTCTACATTATTCTTTACTGCTGCTTAGCATTCCATTATGTGTATGTACCATGGTTTGGCCATCCACTCTTCTGCTATAAATCTTAGAGATAAGTCCCTTGCCAGATATGTAATTACTGGCAAATATGAATTTGTTGCTGTCATTTTTGTTATGTGCTTTTTCATTGTGTCGGTTTCTTTGTTCCATATAATTTTCTATGCTGA